TCGACAGCAACCTCACCTTTGCTCGTTGCAGTTGGCCTTGCATGGCATGCAATTGTGTGCAGTGCCAAAGCCTGTTTGAGTACATCACGGGATCAAGTTCACCACGTGCATTTAGTGAGCACCCAGATGAAGCAGAGGAGTTGGATCGCCTTGGTAGCTCCAGAAACATACACGACACGCACAGACAGACAGACACACACACACACACACAGACGCACGCATGCGCAAAACACAGGCGCGAACAAACTGGCAAGCAGACCTTTGAGGATGTTGCGTTGGACGAGTTCTTCCTTGCTTGATCTGTGTGGAAGGTGCCGAGACAAGACTGCGAGAGAGGGTGCATTGTGTATGGGTTGGAGTCGATGAGGGCGCACCTTTATGTCTGCACACACAATGGATGGCAGTGCAACAAGGCGGGTTCGCGCTTGCACGTACCTGCTTGTGCCTCGCGAATGCGACTTGCCCAGGCAGGGTCTGCCCCGCCCTGTGCCGGCTGTCGATCACCCTCTTCCATGCTGCTTGTCTGAGTGTGGCGATGGGTTGGGGAGTGAGTGGGTGGTTGAATGAAACGAAGGGAAGAGGGGCGGGGGGGGGGAGAGGTTGGCTCTCAGCCCCAAGCACGGGCCCAGCTGTCAACCAGCACGCGCAACTGTTGGGGGACGAAGGTGGAAGGAAGGGCGGAGGGAAGAGTTGCGCACCATGGGCGTGAGCACCGCAACCAAGAACAATACAACAACTGCCACAATACAACAACGTGGGCCCCAACAACTGCCGCAATACAACAACACAAAAAAAAAAACCGCCCCCGCTTTGGGCTCCTTTTCCAATTTTTTTCCCCGGGTTTTTTGGGGGGCAAGGGGGGGGCCAACCCCCACCCATAAAAAAAAAAAAAACCCCCCCCCCCTGGGGGGGTTGGGCCCCAAAATTTTTCTCCCCCCCCCCCCCCCCCCCCCCCCCCCATCGCTCGTTTTGGTCACGCTCACCTTTTGATTGGATGCGACTTGCGCGGGAAACAAAAACACAGAAAGCGGAAGAAATGAACGAAACAACAGAAGGAAGGGTGTTGTCGCTGCTGGCGCTTCACTCAAGGACGAGCACAAGGCACCAGCAGCAGCATGGACAGTGTTTGCGGCGCGTCTGCTGCACTGTCTGTGCTGGCTTGTGTCCTTTGTTGTTGTGGAATGGGTGAGAGTGGGTGCGAAAAGGCAAAGGTGGGTTTGGTGGAGGGAAGCGTGCCAGGCGCAAGTGCTGGGGGACAGAAGGTGGCACGACGCGGCGACGGCGACGACTTGACAAAAACAACAAAAACAGAGAAACGCAAGCAAGCAAAACAGCAGCAGAGGTTCTTCTTCTTCTTTTTTGGAAGTGCACCCACAGCTGCTTATTGCGGCATCGAATCGGGAACGATGGTTTTAATTGTTGGGGTTCGTTTTGTTTTGTTGTTGGAGGGGTGGGTTGTTGTTGTTGATGTTGGAGCTGGGGGTTGGAGGAGAATGTGGATGGCGCACCTGGGATGGTGCATCCAACAACAAACAGGCAACGAAACACACACACACACACATGTAGAGGTGTGCATTCACACACGCACGCACACAGACAGACAGATAGACACAAACACAGAGACAGACAGACGCGCATTGGGACCTGTCAGGGTCGACGATGTTCTTCAGCCTTGGTAGAACGTGGGCAGCGCATCACCCAGGACCACCTGCATGTGGATGGCAGCAAAACACAAAGAAAGGACAGGGCGGTGCATGGTGTGATGAGCAACAAGCCAAAACGAGACAAGCAAAGGAAGGAAGCAAAAGAAGGAAGGAAGCAAGCAAGCATACAACGCAGATACAGGTCCAGCGACAACCACAATAACAACCAAGCAAAGCAAAGCATAAGCAAAGCAAAAGCAAAGCAAAAGCAAAGCAAAAGCAAAGCAGCGTACGTCGCGCTCGACGCCGTCCTTTGTGATGACGGCGGTGCGGATCACGCCACCAGAGGACCCATCCCGCGACATGGCAAGTGCAAGCGCTGGATACACCCAGAAAACAGAGAGGGGAGAGAGAGGGGGGGGGGGGAGGGAAAGGGAGAAACAGTATTTCAAAACCGTCGATGTGAGCGAGGAGGATGAACAAACAAACAAACACACGCACGCACGCACACACAAGCAAGCAAGGCAGGAGACATGGCAATGACAGGGCATGGGGAACCAGAAGGCAAGCGGCCGTCGCAACACACACACACACACACACACACACACACACAAACACAAGCATATGTCGTTCAGAGAACATTCACGGCGACTGCTGCTGCTGCTGCTGCTACTGCTGCTCACCGTTGCGAACAAATGTGAGGCACTCGTCCTTGGCCATGCCCTCCTTGAACGTGGAATCGCAGTGGCCGTACAGGAAGGTGGAGCCGGACCCTGCGCCACAACATCGAACAAGACCACAATGAGGCACAGGCCCATGATGCATGCGTGTGGTGTGGCAGTGTTCATGTGGTGTGATCACATGTGCGAATGCATGCACGCATGCCATCATGATAGTCTTCAGCAGCAGCAGCAGCAGCAGTAGCGGTTCGTGCAAGACAGACACGTTTCGCGGGTTGGCTTACCGCCAATGGCAAATGGCTGGCGGACAACGAGGCCGCCAAGTGGGATGGAGTACACCTGCCAAGAAGAAAAATATCAAGAGCAGCAGACAGCGTTCATGAGAGAAGAAAGGAAAACAGGACAAGCTACAGCCGCCCCAGCACGCATGTGGCCATCCCTCAAACACACATACACACATACACAAACACACGTTCCTTCTCTGGACATACCTGGCCGCCCTTGTGCTCGTCGAAGCCGGCGCAGATGATGCCTGCTGTGAGCTGGTCGCGGTTGTTGTAGCAGAACTCACGGAATATGCTGGCAGCAACACCCACGCGTGGCTCCTCGTCAATCTCCACACTGGCACACAAGTCGAGGCAAACATGAGGTTCATAACGCGCCCCAGTGAGTGAAGATGTGGTCGCGCAAATCTTCCAAGCGCGCGGCTTCTTGACAACCCCCCGAGCAACTAACCAGAACAAACAAATCCCATCAACAGCTGCACCTTTGTACACACACACACACACACACACACACACACACACACACACACGCACACACACAGGCCTCGCATTCACAATGATAACACGGCGTCAATGCACACCCACACACATAGTTGATTACCTGTGCAATTCAAGGTAGTACCGCACAATGTCGGCGATGGCCTGTGTGTCGGCTGCTGAACCGGAACGGCAGCAGTAGATGTAGTCGGTCAGCTTCGTCAGCTTGTCCGTGACGCGGTTGGCCACATATGCGCTGCAGTATCCGGGAAGAAAGGGGAGGGGGGTGGTGGTCGTCGAATGTGAGCAAAAAGGACAGATGTCGTGCTCCGCCAACCACAATCACCGCTCCCAAGCACACACACACACACACACACACACACACAGACACACACACACACACAAAACAGCATTCCTCCTACCCAGTGGTGGTTCTGGAATCGGCGCCAATGACCACGCCGTCTGCAAACTCCACAGCCATGATGGTTGTCTACATAGGGATGCACAGCACATAAAGAACACACACGCACACGCACACGCACACGCACACACACACACATCCAAAACCACATTTACACGCATACACACGCGCATGCGCACACACAACGTACGTGCATGCACATGCACAATCACGTACAATCCGTGTCAGCAAAACCAATGGCAAACTCCCAAACCCACAATCGCCCCCAATCCAAACCTTTGGCTCTCTCCACATTCCACACGCCTTATCAACCGGCCCCCCACACACACACAAACACACATACACATGGCTGAACAGCAACCCCGCAAACAGCAACGTACGCCAGTCTTGTGCTCCGCAGACACCCAGTCTGGGTTGCTCCTGTCGACAAGCCCATCCATATCTGCTGTCTGTCGTCTGTTTGCTTTTCGACTTCTTGCTTCTCCGCTGTCTTCCGCTGGCGGTTGAATGTGGAAGTTTGATTGAAATCATCAACGAAAAATCTCCGAGATCGCTGACGACACCAACCACAAACAACAAACCACAACAACATCCACCCACCAACGAGGTCGCAAGCATGAGCGGGTATGACTGGAACAGCGATTGGAAGTCTGGAAAGTCGTTTGTAGGCTCCCTGCTTCGGGAGACGGCAGCAGAGCGTGATGAACGACTCAGGCGTGAACGCATGGAACAAGAAGAAAGGTCAGCAGTGTGCGTGTGTTTGTTTGTGCGTGTGTGCGTGTGTGCGTATGTTTGTTTGTGCGTGTGTGCGTGTGTGCGTGTGTGCGTGTGTGCGTGTGTGCGTGTGTGCGTGTGTGTGTGCGTGTGTGCGTGCGTGCGTGTGTGCGTATGTTTGTTTGTGCGTGTGTGCGTGTGTGCGTGTGTGCGTGTGTGCGTGTGTACGCCTCGCTCTTTCTCTCTTCTCTCTGTGCTTCGTGTGATGGGATGCTGAGCCTTGATCGCAGATCCCCCCAACACATACCCACACACATACACACACACACATACACACATACACACATACACACATACACACATACACACACACATACACACATACACACACACACACACACACACACACACACTTTGCAACTCCTCTCATGCACACGCATGCATTCACACACCACGAGCTCTCCCTTCTTCACCATCTCCCAAACATGTACACTCCTCGCCCCTCACACACGCTTCCTTGCAACCAGGCAGCGGCACATGGAGCAACGGGAGCAGGCCGAGTTTGAGCAGCAGCTGCGCAGCCATCGCGAGCGCGAACTCGCCGAGGAAGCACGGCGAACACAAATCAACGCAGAGCACGAGCGCCTCTGGGGCAGTTCCTTCTCCTTTGGCACGTCTACATCCAGCGCCACCAGGGACAGAGTCACGGGCTCCTCGAGCAACCTCGTCCAGCAGACCACACACCACCATGAGCGACAGCTGCGGCAGGTGCAGGATCTGGACGACGTGTCTCGCCTCGCCGCACGCTTTGATCACGAGCTGGAGGAGCAGGAGGCCGCAGAGCTAATGGAGCGAGAGGCGCTCGCACGGCGGCTGAGGGAGGCAAAGGATATGGAGCGTGCCGTGGCACTGCAAGAGCAGCTCACCAACCCGCTGGGCCTGCACTACCAGGACCAACACGCGCCTCCGCCAGGCTATTCCCAAGGCCAGGTGTCTCCTTACCCGACCGCCCCACCCCCACCGGCCACCGGCCATCAGCAGCCGGCGTCGTCATCGGCGCCATCATCATCTGCGCTGTATCCCCCGCCGCCGCCGCAGTCATCACAGCAGGAGCAGCAGCACTTCCACGACACGTTTGCCCAGCACCCGCCCGCGTACTCGGCCGCCACCGCCATTGCAGAGAAGCAGCACGACAGCGCATCACAGCAGCAGCAGCAGCAGCAACAGCCGTTGACGGCGAGCACGTGGGCGTCTCCGCCTGCGTCGTCATCGACGCTGCCCCCATATGCGGCGCCTGGCGGGGTGTCCATGCACGCTCGTCCGCCATCGCCAGGCACCATTGCCGCGTCCAAGCCGCCATCGTACTTTGCAGCGCTTGACGAGAAGGTGAAGCAGCCCGGTGTGAGCAAGATGCGCGAGGCACGCGAGCTGTTTGCTCCGCAGACCGCCAACGCACCGCCGCCGACGTTTCGCCCAGCAGAGGGCGCGCAGGTGCGCTGTGCATCGTGCTTTGACGTGATCCGGCCGGACCTCCCGCGTGGGTTCAGCGGGCTGGCGGTGAAGCAGGGCGTGTCGACGTACCATGTGGAGTGCTACGAGAAGAGTGCTGCACCGCACTGCGCGTACTGTGGGCGCACGCTGTACCCGCACCCGGAGATGAACCTGAGCGGGGTATGGGGCGAATACAAGGGCAAGAAGTATCATGTGGAGTGTTACCAGTACCGCGCTGGGCCGCGCTGCTGCTCGTGCTTTGACGTCATCTTTGCCAACCCGGCCAAGCATCTCTCTGGCGCGTGGCGCACCCTCCCTGACTCGAGCTTCATCCACGAGGAGTGCTACCAGCGCCGCCTCCGCCAGTCGCAGTGATGTAATCTCACGCCAGTGTGTACATGCGTTGTGTGTGTGTGCGTGTGCATGCGTTGTGTTGCATGTGTGCTGTGGGTATCGTATGCAACCATGAGTGGGCTGCAGCCTCCTCCTTCAAGTTGCTGCTATTACTGTTACCACAAGGGGACTTCTCGTCGCTTCGCTTCACTCGTGCGTTCGTTCGTTCATTCATTGCGGTTGAGCGTGTAAAGAAAGGAACAGCTACTGCAATGGCATGAGAGCAACATCAATGCGTCACAGCAGCAGCATCTGCCTTGGTAGTTTGACAGAGTAAGTTAACGACGATCAGCAAGAACAGAGGCGAGTAGTAGCAACCAACATGGCGCAAAAGGGCTGTGCATAACACCCGCTATGTGTGTGTGTGTGTGTGTGTGTGTGTGTGTGTGTGTGTGTGTGTGTGTATGTGTGTGTGTGTGTGTGTTCGGCCGATTCAACAGCAAGGGAATGGTAACAAGCAGCAGGAGGCCGCAACATCACGACGACTTTGACGACGGTGGCACCGCGCCCAGATCCAAGCCTTGTGCAAACTGCGCATGGATGGGCACGTGTGTGTGTGGGGGGGGGGTATGCATGCGCGTGGGCATGCGTGGGTACAGTGTCAATAGGAGCATTCATGCCAAGACAGTGAAAGAACACAGTGATGTGAGGGACGACAAACGACGAGATGTCGACACAGGCAGAGAGGCAGAGAGACAGAGAGACAGACAGACAGACAGACACACACACACACACACACACACACACTTAGACAGACAAACAGACAAACACACACACACACATTTAGACAGACAAACAGACAAACAGACAAACAGACACACACACACACACACAGACACACAGACACACAGACACACACAGACACACACACACACACACACACACACACACACACACACACACACACACACACACACACACACACACACATACAACCACCACCACCACCGCGCCAACCTTTCTGAGGGTGGATGTGGTCACGACAATCTCCTCGTTGAGGTCAAGGATCGCGCCGTGTGCCGCTGTCACGCGCTGCACCACCTCCTGCATCCCTTCCAAGCAGCTGCCAACAGCCAGCAACTCATCATCCATCGTGAACGTGGCTTCTCCGCAACGGTCAACACACAACAACCAACAGCAAGAAACAAACACAAACCACAGCACTTTCTCTTGTTTGTTTTGCTGGTTGTTGTTGTTGTGGTGTGAGGATGAGTGTGTCGGGGTCGTCGTTGTTGGAGCACCCTGTGCTGGAGAAGCATGACATCCTGTGCGAGCTGATAGGGGCCGTGCTGGGGCCAGAGCAGGCGCAGCGGCAGCGAAGCACAAGCAGTGGAACAGCCATAGGACCAACGTCGCCACCCGTGAGCGATGGTGGTGCCAAGACGCTCGACACTGCTGGCGATGATGCCACTGCACCTTCTTGCTCATCCTTCAACACACAGTCCAGCAGCTCTTTGCCCCCAGCAACATCCACTTCGTCAACGGCATCGACATCATCCCTGTCGTCGCCGTCAACAACCCTCGTCTTGCTCTGCCTACAAGCGTGCACCCACGGCGCCAGAACACGGTGTGTGCGTGTGTGCATGTGTATCTGTGTGTGTGCCGGTGCGTGCGTGTGTGTGTGTGTGTTTTTGTGTGTGTGTGTGTGTGTGTGTGTGTGTGTGTGTGTGTGTGTGTGTGCGTGCGTGCGTGTGTGTGTGTGTGTGTGTGTGTGTGTGTGT